CCTAAAGGGGTTTAGGGTTTAAGGTTTAGGGTTTAGGGTTTAGGGTTTAGGGTTCAGGGTTCAGGGTTTAGGGCTGGTTCAGGGCCCCAAATGACTGGAACTGGGTTCGGGGGGATTGCACAGTGTAGTTCCATGCAGCATAGTATGGTATAGCATAATTCAGCATCCTAGAATATAGCATAGTATAGTGGAATATAGTATAGTATAGTATAGTATAGTGTGTATAGTCTAGTCTAGTCTAGTCTAGTCTAGTCTAGTCTAGTCTAGTCTAGTCTAGTCTAGTCTAGTCTAGTCTAGTCTAGTCTAGTCTAGTCTAGTCTAGTCCAGTCTAGTCTAGTCTAGTCTAGTCTAGTCTAGTCTAGTCTAGTCTAGTCTAGTCTAGTCTAGTCTAGTCTAGTCTAGTCTAGTCTAGTATGGTATAGTGTAACATAGCAGACCATGGTTATACCAAGGGAACCCTGAGGTTTCGCAGCTGGTAACTATTCCAGCTTCTACATAGTATAGTTTGATAGTACAGTATTGGGTTTAGGGTTGAGGGTTTGGGGTTTAGGGTGTAACATAGCATACCATGGTTATACTAAGGTAATCATTTCCGGTTCCCTAAACCCCAACCCCCTGAACCCTAAACCGTGGTCCTTAGTGTGAGCGTTTGCCTTGTCGGCTTCGGTGTGTAAGCGACTGCGACGCCTAGACTTGCGGCTCGGATCCTTCAGCCCGATCGGAACCACAGACCATAACTCTTCCTATAGGAAAGAGAATAACATAAGCCTGAATAATTATGTCAACAGGGTTTTGGGGGTATGTTGTAGTATGATGATTACAATGGTGACTATGAGGGACTGATTCTACCAAGTATTCGAACTTAGACACCACGTCCTAAACCCGAAACCCCGAACCCTTCACTTTAGAAAACAATGCAAAAAACATGGCCTGTGCTTTCAGCTTGTCCACCAGCTGTGCCTGCGACTCTTCGGACAGCTTTGTGAGCATCTCCTGTCCGAGGAAACCACAGGGTTTATGGGCGAGGTCCTTTCTAATAACAGCAGTAGCAGCAGCAGCAGCAGCAGCAGCAGCAGCAGCAGTAGCAGTAGCAGCAATAAGCAGAAGAAGACGAAGAAGTTTGTAGTGGTTGGGGCTTGGGTTTATAGGATTGTGTGCATTTAAGGCTTTGTCTTTTCCTCTGCTAGCTCTTGGGGTTCTAGGCAGCTTCCTCTGCTCAAGACAAGTCCTGGCATGTCCCCATGCAGCAGGGCACATGGACCCCGAGTGCTTCCACATGCTTATGGCTTTCCATCGCGCGGGCATGCAAAGATGATTCAGATGATCCTTTTGCTGCCATCCGGCCCAGGAAGTCCCAGCAATGCCAAGCATCTGCAAGCTCTCCACCTGCATGTTGATGTACAACAAGCAAAAGATTAACAAAAGTATCGGGGATGCAGGCCCAGGTTCGACCTGCAAGCTACTGTCCAGCGGCACAGTTCTGTGCCCAACACGCCATGCACGGCTCCGGTGGCCGGAGCACACACCTACACACACAAGCAGACTGTCAGACTTCAGCTGACGAATTCAAGACTTAGAATTCAATTTGGCCGTCACTCACCGAGAACTCTGCCTCGGCTCGTATGTCTCGGCTTGACGACCCTATGTAGATCTTGAACGTTCCCTCGGGGATGCGCCACTGGTCCTCCTCTGACCACACAGAGATGTCCGGCGCTCTTTTGAAGGCAGTAGGGCTTCAGAAAATAATATAGGGGTGGTAATAATTAGAATAGGGTTTTGGGGCCCATTATACTACTAGTTATCATAAGGAACCCCCAAAATAGTAATGACTTAGGCCCCTACATTGAGGGTGTCAATTTCGTTTGCAGGGCTTGGTTCTTGCGGGGCTTAGAGGATGAAGCGTTCCAGGGCTTGGGGCGTCAGGGCTTCAGAATGTTCCGGTTTGGGGACCCTAAAACGTTGGGGTTTGGGTCCAGGCTGCGCATCTCTGGGCTTTGTGGGACTCACTGTGTATAGGTGTCTTTCGCAGGTTGGTCCAGGGTTTAGGGTTTCGGGTTTCGGGTTTCGGGTTTAGGGTTTAGGGTTTTTTTAGGGACAGGAGGTTGTAGGGTGGCAAAAGTGAGAAAGTTCTAGCATAGGCCCAATGAACACAGTCTAAACAAACAACACTTAACAGTAGTAGCCAACATCCACCGAGCATGGTAACCCACATTGGCTGCAACGAGCAGCTCACAAGCACAGCTTTTTGACCACACTTCTGGTGGAACATCAAGGGCGGGCACAGCAGGTCAATGTACATGCCTTCTCACCCTGGAACATTCGAGCATGACCTCCACGTTCTTTACCCGAGGACTTCACATGAAGTGACAAGAGCAACGCTTTCTATCTGCATCCGCCCGGCCATGGGTTGTTTCTTTCTCAGGCCAAGGCCAGTAGGGGCTGCCATAGAGCTCCAAATATCGACTTAAGCAGCTGGAAAAAACCTCATCAGTAGCAGTCGGTGTCCGGCATGACAGCAAGTGGTACGCGCATGTCATCTCATCTGCCAGTGTTGCAACCTCGTCTTCTGTCACCTGACATCCACCATATGTCATAAGCACAGTCACAGTACAAGTTCCAAACCCATATCCAGCTTCCACCTACTTCCATCTACGTGAGCCGCGACAAAACTCAAAGAGAACATGTGTTTGGTCCACTTGACGTCGATAAGAAACAGCTTTGTTAGATTGGGTGGTGAGCACTCCACATAATACATATATATATATATACATATATATATGTACAAATATATGTTTGTTTATTTATTTGTTATGTTGTTCCAGGCTACAGGCACCTCCAGATCATCCAAATCTCCGTGTGTGCCCACCAAGCATCGCACAACACTTGCGTCATGCTTTCCTTCAGCCATTCGCATCAAAAGCTGGGCCTCACGTAGGCTTCGCCGCGACCGTTGATTGAAGACAAACATCAGGATGTGCTCACCTCTGGATGAAGAGTTCAGACTTTGAGCCTGCAATGGTTTCAAAACATGTGGTGAGTCTCTAAATTCTGGTCCCTTTTTTGGGTACCTTAAATGAGAGGGGCCGCCTTATAATAAGCCGGCAGAGGGGCTTTCTTTTAGAAGGTTTGGCCAAACGGTGTTTGTCAGAAGGTTTGGCCAAGTGGTCCGTTGAGTTTGAATTGCAGCAAACTATTGGGGAATGCCCACCTGCAGGGTCATGTTTGCAGCAAGCTATTGGGGAAATCCCATTCGTGGGATCTTTTTTTGCAGCAAGCTATTGGGGAAATCCCATGTATTAGGGATTTTTCTGCAGCAAGCTATTGGGAGACTTAGTTTTGGGCCTTGTTTGTTCCAAGTTACTGGGGAAGTAACATTTACAGGGCTATTTCTTACGTCGAAGCTCGTCGGGAACTCAGAGTTGCAAGCCTTGGTCTTGCGCGAAGATATTCGGGGATTTCGATTGCGAAGTGTTGCTTTATGTTGCTTTGCTTCAAGCTATGGAGGAGTTACAACGTGCGGGGCTCGATGTTTCAAGCTATTGGGAAATACAATTTGCAAAGCTTGGCTTCGCATCAAGCTGCTGGGGAATTACAATTTGCAAGCTTGTCGGGAATGTCGATTCGCAAAGTATTGGGGTGCAGAACTGATTGACTGATTATGTATGTTTCTGTGCTTCCACTATATTTGAATAGGAAAACCACCATGTTCCCTCCAATTGAAATCAGCATAAACTACTGGTATTGAAATTGATCAGCGCAGACCCATTCCAGTTGCAAACAGAATGCCTGCATGATGGGCTTTAAAACTTGTATAACAATGATGTGCTTGGCGCAATCCTCTTGATGGCGCGATGTTCTTGAAAGCAAGCCTGCACGGCTTAAAACAAGAGGGGAGGTTGTGGGGGGCACACCTTGATCACGGGTTTTGAAAGGGTCCATATGGGTTCTGTCTGCTGGCAAGATGATACTTGAAGCGATCTTGCACAGCTTAAAAATAACGCGGGGGAGTTGGGGCGGACGCAACCCCTTATTTGCAACCAGATTGCATGTATTATGAGTTTAAAAAAAGTTTTATAACAACTATGTGCTTGACGCAATTCTTGTTGATGGTGCGATTGTCTTCCAAAGCCAGAGCCCCCGACCAAGTTGCAAACACTTATCACGGGTTCCGAAAGGGTCCATATGGGTTCTGTCTTTGCTGGCAAGATGATACTTGAAGCGATCTTACACAGCTTAAACATATTGCAATGGGGTTGGTGGGACGCAGCCCCTCATTTGCAAAATGACTGCGTGTATTGTGAGTTTACAAAAAGTTCCATAACAACTATGGATTTTACGCAATTCTTGTTGATGGTGCGATTGTCTTCAAAGCCAGCCTGCATGCCGCAAAAAAAGCGGGGGGGTTGGGGGGGTGGGTTCTGTCTTTGCTGTGAAGGTGAGGGTGCCCATAGTTTCGGGGTTCTGGTTTCGGATCGGCTGCCGATGAGTTTCGGATCACGGGGGTGAGT